TTTAGTATACCCTTCGAAGATACGTTCGTACGGGTATAAAAAAGAAGACTTTAACACAGTCTTCTTTTTTATACCCGTACAAAATTTCACCAAATCATTCTATTTATTAAAAAATATTAAATTACACTGCGAAGGATATGCATTAGTTTGCTATTTATATGTATATATTTTATATATATATTTATATATATTTTATATATAGAAAAATATTAAATTTAAGAGTTCCTGTCTTCAGTTCCTGTTTTAAATCTGAAATCTGAAATTTTTCATTGTTTTTGTTTAAAATGGATTTAATTACAGTTAGACTTACCTTGTTACCTTAAAAAATTCACGAGGAAGATTCAAAAATGACTTTACAATTATGACTTCGAAAAACAACGTAGTTTATTTTTTTTTCTTATATATACTTACGAGAAATGTGTTATTTTCCTATATTCTTACGAAAAATGCAAAAAAATATTATTAAAGAACGGTTTATTTTGCAATAAATAGATACTCCAAATATTTTGACTTATGATCTAATTCTATACGTTACCTTGATTCTATCATTGTACAATTATAAATCATTATTTTGATTCTATAGAAAATTGAAATTGCTCATTGTTTATTTGATTTAGTACTTTTTTAAGCACATTTCCAATTTCTTTTTTATGTATTCATATCTAGAATTTCAATAAATCTAAAGTTCGGCATTATATCAAGAGACCTATAACTTATATAACACCATATCTCACATTCACTTAATGCTATAAATTTATAGTTATGAAAAAATTTCTCTCATAAAGAAGCTTTTTTATTGAAAGTCTCCGATCTACTATGGAATTTTCCGAAAAATATTTAAATGCAAACCTCGTATACGCTTAACTTCCTCCATACTTTAATATTAATTAACATTACTTGAATTTTGTCATATATTTCAAAAAAAAAATTAATAATATTCACTATTTTTTAATTATTCAATAAAAAGTTTCAAGAATTAAAATAAGAACATTAAACGATAGTAAATTTTTGTTTTTAAAGTTTACTCCAAGACGTAATGAAAGAGTATTTTAAAACAATGAAAATTTGTGTTTATGAAAATTTCTTATATAAATTATTATATAAACAAAATGGTTCATTTGCCGTTAATATCAAGTGTAGAATTACTTACCCTTTTGGGTAGTAGACAAACCTTTTTAAAAGATTTTACACAAAATTGAAAAATAATATCTCTTCATTAATTTCAATAAGTCTCTATTTGTTTTAACGAATTTGTTTAGAATATTACATACATTTTTGATACCAATGATTTTGTAGATCTAATTATGTATATCTGTCGAAAAAAAGTTTGCATATAGTTTCCTATATAAAAGTTACTCTTTAAGTTTAAAAGTGTTTGAGCACTTTCTGAGACTGGAAAAACCAAAAAACATGCTTCCTTCTCAATGAAAGCAAAAAGTTGTTTAACTAATAGTTATCTAAATTTATTTAATTAATAGCAAAAAATTAAAATAAGTTAATTCAATCTTAATAACTCTTCAATATAGTTATACTAATGGCTTATTTTAATTTACAAAAAGACATATAGTTGGCAACACCAAAAATAAAACTGCCATTTTTTCACATTCTCTAGATAACTTACTGGCAACACTTGATAAATTCTACTACGTCAGCTCTTTATTCTACTACGTCATACAAATACTTTATTGAGATTTCTTATTTGACCAAACACAACCATCTTTTTTAATGACATGTCAGCAACCGTTTGCTTTTTCCTTTAAGAGAAATTTTGAAAAACTAATAGTTTCGAAAATATTATAAGTTTTACGTTGTTTAATAAGGAAATGTGCTACTTTACAAACCATTTGTTAGATTCGAATTCATTTTTAATTTTTAAGTTTTTTCCAAACTAAACTAATAAAACAAAATTTTTTTAATTGAAAATCGAGATTTTCTTTTTTCTTTTATTTATTAATTTATTATACAAATTTGAATGTATATGTTTTATATTTATGAAGTATGTATGTGTGTTATACATCATTATATACATTATGTTACTAAATGATTTTTATTACAGTAAAAACTTTCATTTTGTTTTTTTAATAAAAAATTAAAATTTTTATTCACAATAATGTAGAATATTAAACAAGTAGTACAAAAATCTGTTTGATTTATTTTTTTTTTAAGATTATAATTTTTTAAAATATTCGTGCGTACAGTTTATTACAACATAATAATTTGTCTTAATTACATTTTAATTTTTTTCCATATATTTACTAAATTATTAAAATTGTTTACATAATACAAAACACTAATATTATACATTCATTATGTAAAAATCTTTACTTATTAAATAATTATTATAGTACATGCTACATTTGTATATATATACATACATATATTTATTTAATTATCCCACTACGTATTTATAATTATTATGTACTTATTCAAATTACAAATGATTTTTTTTTTGTTTGTATTTTATTTATATAGTATAGTTAAAGCTTTATTCTTAAAATAATTTGTTTTATATAAAAATATATTTGACACATCATTATTCATCATCATAAAATTAATCTTTAATTAATAAACAGAAAAACACATACATAGTATACACCTATATATATTAAATAAAAACCCATTTATTGTAAATAAGTAAATAGCAAAATTTATTGTATTATTTTATATAAAAAAAGAATTTAATTTAAAAAATAATAAGAAAAATATAGCTAATATAAAAAATGAATTTATATACTCAAAATTTGATATAATTTGTGCTAACAAAACAAACTAGAAATTTTATAAAACTTATCCTTTTACCTCTACAATTAGATTCTGTCTCAAAATATTTTACATACACACATATACTCGTAGATAATGTAATTCACAAACGATAGTTTAACAAAAAATTAATTGAAAAACTTCTTAATACTATACAGAATCTAGAAATTTACTAGAATTTTTTGTTTTTGAAATTTTAGGAAAGCTGTAGTATGCATTATGCATATGAAAATAAATATTGGCATTGTCTTTTAATTTTAATTGAAATTTGTGCTTTATAAGTTTATAAGGAATTTGTGATCAAAAAGGATTTATTAAATAGACAACTTAAGTATTTACAAAAAATAAAACTTGAGTTGTGAGGCTTAACTATATAATTCGATTTTCGTCAAATGATTTTCGCATTTACAGAAATGGAAAGGTAGTGCCATACAATTTGATTGGTTCTATCTTACCATTTTTCCGAATACAAAAATCGTTTACATGAAAATCGAATTACAAAGTAAGGTCTGGACTTATTATGTTGTACAATAAAATGTATGCAATAATACACAATAAAAGAAATAAGTATCAATATAGTATAATTAAAGTTTAACTTTATATTAAACTTAGAAATTAAATTATTGTTAATTTAAGTTATTATTGAATTAAGTTGTTAGAACTTGCAAATGTCACAAATACTTTTCGATAATCATTATTACAATAATAGTAATCTAATTACAGTTTATTTTCACTAAGTCTTTTAATATAATATATATATTTAGATGATTTCCAAAGAGAAAATAATCATCAAAATATAATATCAAAAATTTATTGTTTTTATACAAAAAAATTGAACATTAATTTCTTTCGCTACCATATAGATAAGGTGACAATGCTCTCCAAATAAATTTCAAATTATTAATATTTTTTGAAATTCTCATTCAATGTATGGAATTCTCCTTTATACAAACGTGATATTAAGCATTTCTCTTATAAAAAAAGATTTGGTAGTGAAAGAGTTAAAAAAGAAACCAAATTAAATTCTAAATGTGCATATACGATAACAATTTTTCACAGTTCAATTTATTTAATCGAAGAAAGTGTTATCACACTATATTTTCTTAAATATAGAAAAGAAAAAAAAATTAATTGATAATAATTTTAATTTATGGTTTTATTCACAATTGTTTTAAATAGCATTGTGTTACATAACACATTACACAAAATTATCCATAAAAATACAAGACCTCTTACATCTGTTGTATATAAACTTTCAATTCAGTATAAATTTCGTACAGTCTAAACAGTAAACGCTTTTTGTTTACTATTTCACAACTTGGCTAACTTTGACATGACAAAAAAACTATAGAGGAAGGAAAATGATAAACTCTACATTTATACTTATTTGATAATTATTATTAACTATATAATAACTATTACAAACAACGAGACATATATTTTCGTAATTAAAAAACTGTTTTTTATTTAACTTTGAAATTTTTATTTTGAGCAATGCTTTGAAAAAACAAACTAGTGCTTTTCTTTTCAAACCACTAATTATATATGGTAACACTAAATTTTTCTAAGAAAATAACGGAAAGTATAAAGAAATTAATTTATAAATCGAAAGATCAAACAGAACAATTATTCAAAATTGAAAGTTTATCATACTGTGTAACGAACTTAAATTGGATTTTAATTAAATTATTGTTCATTGCTTTCGTACACAAATTAAATACTGTGCTTAAGGGCCATTTTGAATATGATTATGCAATAAAAATTTTTTTTTTATTAATATCAAAATGTTCATTTTTATTCTCTAATATTTATTTGCGCTTTGAAAAACATTTTGAAGAAAAACGAAAATTAAATTTTTATAAAAACGAATCTTAATAAAAATGTTTTATAGTCAATTTAAGAAATTGAGAAATGTATAAAAATTAACACATTGTGTGAATACTAATTTAAAAAAAATATATATTTATACGCTATAATTTGTATTTGAAGATAGAGAAAACAAATTATTACAGATATTTAGTACATAAATTTAATAATATATTAACAATGTTTGAATAGACCTTAAATTATATTAAATTCCCAAAAATGTATTAGCTATTAGATACAGGCCCGGTCTGTCCTCTATGGCGTTTCCAGAGAAGGCGTCACACCTCTCCTTTTTAAAGTAGTAAATATTATAGAAAAAACAGAGCACACTGCGTAAAATAAATCATTTTCTTGAAACTTTGTCATGCTGATTTCAAGATAAGTTATAAAAATAAATAAAATTTTAGGTTTTTGTTTTGTAACGTTTGTATATGTGCTATGTTTGTGGATGTTATCTACTTGTCTTCGCTGTAAACAGAAAACCTAATTTTCAAAACCACATAATGGAAAAAATTTAAAGGAATTTTTATTTTTTTTAAATTTAGTGATTTTGTATGTTTTCAATGGCGCCCCTGTTTCTGGTGCCCATTGCGAATGCTTACTTTGCATATATGGTTGATCCGCCGCTGATTAGATACAACATTAAAATAATTTAAATGCCAGCTACTTAAATAAATTTCTATTATTCAAATTTTGTAAATTATGGAAAATTTAAAAATTGGATTTATTATTAATTTAAACCAAGAAATATAGTGTGATTCAAAAAGGCATACAACAATATATACAATTGGTTAAAAGATCAAAAATGGGTAAAACTTTTGTTCCATAGTATGTGTGCCAAATCTCAATAGTTTCCGAGACACAGCTATTTTAACGAAAACTTGCCGATATTTTTGCTCTTATAACCTGAGTTCCCAAATTTTTTCAATATTACTCATATGTTTCATAATTTCTGTTACGGTACAGGAGATGTAGCAAAAAAAATTATTTGTAAAATGTGTACTAAAATTCACGCAAGATTTGAATTTTACACCATTTTGCGCCAAATAAAATGCGACATTAATTCGGCGTCGTGGTCAAGAATTGGACATTTGGAGAAGCTATATCAACAACATATTCTCAATTGACTTAACAACTGAAGCCTACTGACAACGCACAGCGAAGAGAGTTCGTTTAATGATTTATGTAACAACAAAAAGTGGATGCTGATTTTTCGAGCAAAATCAACTCCAGCGATAAAACTCACGACCACCCACGCCTTGAATGAGGTAATAGTATCAAAGCGCTGTATTCACGAAATTGAAACACATTTATGCAAAACAATCATGGGAAATTTCAACAAAAGAGTGCTAATGTGCCAGCAAAGTCGTGGAGGCCATTTACACTAGGTAAACATGCTATTCCATACAAAATTTACAATTTTTAATTATAAAGAGATAAAATGATATTGTCTTTTCTCCTTCGAACAATTTTTTTAAATAAACTTTACAAGAGTTCGTAGTTATTTTTTATTTTCATATAGCTTTGATATTTACAAGATAGATATCAATAATACTGATAGATATCAATAATTCTTTCTGATACTTTCTAGCTAACTATCTTTAAATATTGGGAATATCTTTCAAAAAATCTAATAACTGCAGCAGTATGTAAATTACTCAATAAGTATTAAATACAAAGTTATTAAAATAAATTACAATAAAATTTTAAAGTGTCTTTTAAATACCATTTCACTCAGTGAAAAACACGTTGTAACAAGCGATTTTAAATAAACTCATATATTGTTATGTATATCACCTCGGGTACTTTTTGATCTGCACTACCACTTTTCAGAATATAAACTTTGGTCACTATGAACCTATAAAATTTGAATATAGACAATATATTATTAAAATAGTTACTACAATAAGAAGAATATTCTTTTGCGAATCTTATAATAAAAAAAGAAAATACTACTTATAATGTTTAAGAGAAAAATTAATATTTTGCATTATTTTCAGAATGTATTGGCAATGTACCATTGGCTTTAGTATTATCATTTACATTGTTTTTTGAGTTATTTAATAAACTTAATTCTTGAGCATTTTGTGCGTTTTCTATTTCATGTACTAATTTTTCTTTTCTTTTTCCGAAATTTTCACATTCTTCTATAGTTTCTAACATTGGTTTATTTAGAGTTTCTGGTAAAAGAAGTGATAATAAACCACCAGTAAATGCCATTCCTCCAAAAATTATCATTGGAAATGGTTTCCATATTTCTCCTAATAAATTAAAATATGGGGCTAATATACCACCTATCCTAGCAACCATAGAAGATGCACCTAAACCAACGTTGCGTATAACAGTTGGAAATTGTTCAGCTGAAAATATATAAACGGTACCGTAACTAGATGTAATAGCTAATTTTCCTAACATAGCTAACAGTACTATTAACCAATTTTGGTCCTCAGGTACTAACGCAGTTAATAAAAGCATTGAACCAGCAAATATCATACAACCACATAAAATTGATCTACGTCCCCAACGATTTAATGTAAATAATAAAAATGTATAAGCTGGAATTTCAACAGCACCAGATATTACAAAATTCAATAAATCATTACCACCTAAATTGCTAGTATTCCATGACAGACCATAATATGTACCACTATTAACGAACCAATCAAAAAATATCAATAGGGTCTTCCGTCTCAAATTTGGATAACGAAACAAATCAAATACAGAATCTTTGTTTTCGTTTATTTCCTTTTTGTTAGTATCATCATCTAAGAGATTATCGAGTAACTCATCAGACAATGAAACTTTATTTTCTTTGGCTGCTTTGAGTATTAACTTTTTCGCTTTATTTTTATGTCCCTTTGATAGCAGCCAACGAGCGGACTCGGGTATAAACCAATAGTAACACATAAATAACGCTCCAGGTAATGTTAATGCAATTTGTAATTGCCTCCAATCAGTTATAAAATATGCGAAGCCAGCGGTTAACATAAAACCGACGGAAAAGAACATCATACAAACAACGCCAGCAAATAATCTATGACTTGCACCAACCATTTCCATCGCTATTACATATGCAACTAGAAAAACTCCTGACGTTGTTGCCCCAATAATTATTCTTGATATTGTATATGTTATATATTCTGGTGCTATGCCAGCTAATATTCCAAAGATTAATTGAATGACTAATGATGCAAAAAATATTGGTTTTCTTCCATATTTATCACTCATTTGACCAAATATAATACTACCTAATAATACACCAAGCATAAATAATGAATCGGATGTTGCCGTTAACCATGAACGTGAACATACCATATCCCATTCTGTAACAGCACTATTCTTATATTTACTTTTATCATAAACCCATTTTGAGCAATGTATTGTACTTTCATTCCAAAAATATTCACATTGTGAATATTTACCAAGTAAATTATCATACGGATATGAAGTATTTAATAATGATGTTGGCAATTCATATTCAATTGTTTTAGTATCATTTTCAAATGGTAAAAGACATCTATGTTCGGGCTTTGCTAATAAAAATACTCCAGCTAATTTATGAAATGCACAAGAAATTGCAGGTAAACATATTAAAAAGTAAATACGCTTCTGATAGCGACCAAATTCGCCTAAATGTGTAATAACATCGTCAAAACCCATAATGAACAGTTTAATTAGAAAAAAATTATAACTTTTAAAATGTTTTCTTCTGTTCGTATTTCTATACAAAATATTTATTAACTTTTTAATTACAATTTATGTTCACAATAAGTGATAAAGCTCAAGCTAAAAATATCTTAAACTGCCTTTTTTTGTTTTGTAGAGTGTTTTTTGTTCTAAATAATTTTGTAACGAAATAAGGTTAAAAACATTAATAAAAAATTATTTTTTTTTATTATTAAATATTTTAAAATTTTAAATCAACCTTTTACTAATTACAGAGCATTATTTAAATAGAATTTTGCGAGTTTGAATAAATTTAAAAAGTTGTGTTGTTAAAAGTTTTGTGCAACCATTATATTTTTATTTTTTGATTAATTTTTTTCAAACTTATTGTTTCTTGGTTATTAATTTCCACAGTGTTCAACTAAACTATCAAACAAAAACTTTCTTATCACACATTTTTTATTTATAAATAAATAGGTAAGCATATGTAAATAAGTCTTTCATATTAATTCTTATTATTTACTTCATTTTCTTAATAGTTGATCATTTTGCGGTAACTACTATTAAAAAAAAGTTCATTTCTCATATTGCATTATGAAGTTTACGAATAATTTTACAGTTATTTTAAAAATTATTTTGCGAAAAATATCAAACAAAAAATGTCTAATAAAAAAAAAATTAATTTAAATTTAACGATTTTAGAAAAAGTTTATACCAAGTGATATTTTTTGCTATTTGATTAGTCATTTGTCACTCAGTTCAATCTATCATTCCAAACAATTGAACTTAAATTATTGAACTTTCGGTAGGTAACAAATTTCATGTTTTGAAACCTTTCAATTTGCCATCTTTTTCATAGGACTTTGACATCGAAAGCAACTTTTAAACAATATATTGAATGTGAAAATATGAAAATGATTAAATGATATTCAAACTTAAGCTAAGGAAGAAAATTAATTAAGAAAGAATAAAATTGAACCCTTCGAATAGATCACGTAAAACATAGTGAAGGCGTACATTTGTACGAAATTAGTTTTAAAAAATATATGACAATGGTTTCTGTTTAAATAAAATTTACAATCTGCATTAAAAAAAAAGTAAATCATAATTTTTTATCGCAATTATGAAATAAAATGCTATCATAACACAAAAAACAGTGAAAGTAAAATACTTAGTGTTAAAACGGAATACACACTTTTATTTACATGCTTTGTAATACGTTTTGTAAAAACAAAAATCCTTATAAAATTTGTTTCTTCAGGAAGTTTTCATCTTTACTCCTTTATTTTTGTTAAGAATTTGAAAATGAATAACTTTCAATAATTAAGTTTTTACAGTTTTTGCAATATCGTGAAAATATTAAATTGAGCCTAAAACATTCAAAACTTTAATGTTTACAATGTGACAGTATTATACCGTGTAAGTGCAATTAATCTGGGCAACAACTAAAAACATTGTGGTATTTATTGAAGAATTTTAAAAACACGCAAAAAAATTTATTTATTCACATTATTTTTAAATATAGCTATAAATTTATTGTACACATTTGATTTCAAGGTAAAATTATACAATTATTTTTTTTTCTCTATACTTTATCATTCACAAATATTTTCAAATATTTAAAATCTTTGCTCTTTTTTTTACACCAAAAATCGAAAACCGGCATTTAAATTCACGGCAAATTCTAATAAAAGTTATAAACTATTGTCCCTTAAATTTAAGCACGTTTTTAACATAATTGTTACAAAAAAAAGAGTAAGAGTAATTTTAGACATGTTTTGTTGTCATTCCTTTTAATTTCTATTTTAACTTCAAATGCAATATGAAAAACAAAAGTTTCAACAAGTTTTTTCTTTTACTATTTTATGACTACAACTAAATTTTAATTACACAATTTTTACAAAATTCTTTGTTTTCATAATTATTTACTTTATACTACTTATAATTTTTCAATTTCTTTCTTTCAGATTGAAATATTTTAATTTCACGTACCGCACTACGATATTTTAATAGGAGTGTGTTCTTATTTATTATTCGTATGCTTTTTTATTAAAAATTTATTGTTCTATTTATTACTTTTCATTAATTAATTTGAAAGTAATTTATTTTCTTTTTTATTAAAAATATTTAAAGAAGAAAAAAATAAAGGAAATTATTGTGCTTTCAAAACTATACTGAAATTTATTATCAAAATTTATATGACGCGCCCTTATGATGGCATGTTGAAAAATAATCACATGTTGTATTGTGGCGTTCTTGCGCAGAACTAAAATAACAGAATTAAATGGGAAAAAAAGAAAAACATATCTGAGAATATTTTTTTTTAGTATGTAGTAGTACTGTACTATGTACCATTAATAAAAATAAAAATACTATACAGGCATTTATATATTTTTTAGTATAACAAAAAAAAATGTGTTATATTTTGTTTTTATTTACATTGTAATATGTACGTAGAATATAGATATTTGAATAATTTTTATAGCATGAAAAATACAATATGTAAATACACACATTTATATTTTTATTTTTACTGTTGCAATATTTTTAATAGTATTCTATTCATGCTGATGTATTGCGGAGCAGAGTAATAATTTGTATAATATGTATCACAATTGCTACAAAAACGATAAATATGTCACACTTTAGCTTTTTTCTGAAATAAATACAAAAAATCTATTTTATTATAATCTATACTCAAAAATTAGTTATATTTTAGTTTTCGTTCTTAAACGGATATGATTTCAAGTAAACGAATTACTCACAAATTCTGTGCAATAGATTTGAAGTAATTAAATACATTTTAAGTACTATGTGTTTTAAGTACCTATACATTTTATAAGTTCTAAATAAATTTTATTGACAAATAAAAATGTAAATCATTTTATATGTCATACAATTTTTCACTAAATTTTTAATTACTCGCTTATTAATTTAAAATTAAAAATTTAAAATTGTGGACTTGCAAAACGTCTTTGAATCAACTTGTTCTAATCGAAATTCAAATCTTCGGCTAATTTCTATTTTTAAATTTTTTTAAGCAATCATATTTTATATTATTTTATGATAAAAATTCTTATATATGTACATATGTATAATTTGGCTATAACTATACTAACTATTAAAAATATAATTGATATCTTAACACTATCCACAACCACATGAGAAAAATTTATAAAACATTTGTAATTATAAAAAGGACTTTTTAATTTATGTACTTATGTGATAATTTTATTTGGAAAAATATAATAGAATCATAATAGATTGAATTTATAATAGAGGTATAAAAAATAAAATTATATCGCAACACAATTTAATATACAACAGGCCTTAAACACAAATTGTTATCCAACTATAACAATGAATATGTAAAGTTACAAAATTAAATATTAAATTATTTATTCCTATTTTATTTGAATTAAACAATTAATATTTTTCATCATTTTTGGAATGAACTGATTCCCTAACGTTTTCTTTGGAGGAATTTTGATTTATATTCTTTTTTAAATTGTTTAAAAGATTTAATTCTTGACCATTTTGTGCGTTTGTAATAATGTGTTGCTCCAAATTCTTTGTTTTCTTTCCAAAGTTTTCACATTCTTCTATAGTTTCTAACATCGGTTTATTTAAAGTTTCTGGTAAAGAGAGTGATAATAAGCCACCAGCAAATGCCATTCCACCAAAAATTATCATTGGAAATGGTTTCCATATTTCTCCTAGTAAATTAAAATATGGAGCTAATATTCCACCTATTCTAGCAACCATAGAGGATGCTCCTAAACCAACATTACGTATAACAGTTGGAAATTGTTCAGCTGAAAATATATAAACAGTACCCAAACTTGCTGTAATCGATAATTTTCCTAACATAACCAAAGCTACAATTATCCAATTTTCTTTTTCAGGTACGATTGCAGTTAACAAAAGTGTTATTCCAGCAAATATCATACAACCACATAAAATTGATCTACGTCCCCATCGATTTAATGTACATAGTAAAAATATATAAGCAGGAAATTCAACGGCGCCAGATATCACAAAATTTAATAAATCATTACCGCCTAAATTGCTAGTATTCCATGACAGACCATAATATGTACCGCAGTTGACAAACCAATCAAAAAATATTAATAAAGTCTTACGCCTCAAATTTGGATAACGAAACAAATCGAATACCGAATCTTTATTTTCCTTCACTTCCGTGTTATTAATGTCATCATCTAGGAGATCATAAAGTAATTCGTCTGGCAACGATACATTATTTTCTTTGGCCGCTTTGAGAATTAATTTTTTTGCTTTATTTTTATGTCCTTTTGAGAGTAACCAACGAGCGGATTCTGGTATAAACCAATAATAACACAAAAAAATTGCTCCAGGTAATGTTAGTGCAATTTGTAATTGTCTCCAATCATATATTAAGTATGCAAAACCAGCTAATAACATAAAACCAAATGAAAAAAATGTCATATAAAGAACACCAGCAAGTAATCGATAACTTGGACCTACCATTTCCATTGCTATTACATATGCAACTAAGAAGACTCCTGCTGTTGTTGCACCAATAAATACTCTTGATATTGTATATGTAATATACTCAGGTGCTATTCCAGCTAATATACCAAAAACTAATTGCATTACTAATGATGCAAAGAAAATTGGTTTTCTTCCATATTTATCACTCAATTGACCAAATATAATACTACCTAATAATACACCAAGCATAAATAATGAATCGGATGTTGCCGTTAACCATGAACGTGAACATACCATATCCCATTCTGTAACGGCACTATTCTTATATTTATCATAAACCCATTTTGAGCAATGTATTGTACTTTCATTCCAAAAATATTCACATTGTGAATATTTACCAAGTAAATTATCATACGGATATGAAGTATTTAATAATGATGTTGGTAATTCATATTCAATTGTTTTAGTATCATTTTCAAATGGTAAAAGACATCTATGTTCGGGTTTTGCTAATAAAAATACTCCAGCTAATTTATGAAATGCACAAGAAATTGCCGGTAAACACACTAAAACATAAATACGCTTTTGATAGCGACCAAATTCACCTAAATGTGTAATAACATCGTCAAAACCCATAATAAATGGATTATTTTTTTTCAATTACTTCACAAATACGTAAAATCGTATGGAATGTTTCATTCGTTTTATTGTATGTAAGTATATGTATATGTTATTTCTTTTTTTTTTAATTTTTAATTTTGATAATTAGATTTGATAATTACTGAATCATACTTAAAGATTCACATAAATGTTAGAACAAAAAAAAAAAAAATATCTCGATTTTGTTTATTTATTTTTTTTTATAATATTGTTAATTAAAAATAATTTTCTAATATTGATTTAATGAATATTTGCACAAGTTTGAATATTTTTTTAGAAACTTCATGTTATAGAAAAATAAATTGAGAATATCTGTATTCCACTTTTAATTTATTTTTTAATCTCAACTTCTTAAGTATTTAATTGGAATTTTTTATTAATAATTTTATTTATAGAATTTTATTTGTATGCATTCTTATCAACGACTTAAAAAATATATACTTAAATTTAGACACATATTATTGGTATTTACTTTTATATAGACTTATTTAAGTTGATATTTATGTATTTAACATTAATTCTACATTATCCACTAAATTGGTATGCATATAAGTTTAGATGAACATACATACAAGCATATTAAATATCGATACTCTACATTTTTAATTTAATTGTAATATCGTAATGGTTATAAAAAGTAATATGAATAAATAAATGTAAATTATAAAATGAAACACATAAATAACATTTTCAAATTTATTATTTTTTATCGATAAGTAGTGTAGACGACTGTCCAACACGCGAAAGTAGATATTTCTAAACTACATTTTATGTTGTAGCTGCATTTTGTTGAATTGCAAAAAATGTTGTTTTTCTTTTTGGTTTACGAATAAATAAAAATTTAAACTGGGAAAAATAATTTCATAATTTTTTAAAGCAACCAAGTTTTATATATGAAGTGTAAAATATTTATAAAATATTTTTTACTTATATTCACTCATTGTCTTGTGCATATCACATGAATTGCTATAATCATGCAAGGAGTATTAAAATATAATATTATTTAATTTTAAACTATTAGCTATCGCAAATATCGTCTAAAATATCAAAATCTTGTCATAAATTTTAGGTACAACACCATCACTTTTGAGGCATTTTGTTCCCTAGTACAAAAAGGGGTTTTACACTGTTTTTTTTTTGTTTTTTAATATTTTAAATAACTTAAATTACATGACCTTTAAGAATTACATTATGTTTTCTAGATCTTCACTTTTTTTTAACATTGAATACATACATACATTCATAATTATGTATGTTTCTTCCAAACTTTTTTTTTCTCTTTTCAACACAATATAAACTTTATAAATAGAACTACAAAGAATCGCTAGACTTCAGTTTTTTTTTTATTGTAAATATGTAAAAAAATTTAGTTGAATTTATAAAATTTGTAATTTTTATTAATCGATCTGCAATTTAAAATTAAAATTTTATTTTTTATCCTTTTATTTTCTTTTCATATTTAAACAAACATTACGCACTCTGCCTATACGAATAAAATATTGTATTCAGAAATATAATCACATACAATATACTGTGGTGTTGTATTGTTGAATGTTATGCAGAACTAAACAAAAAAAGTTGAATATAAAGTTAATATTATTAAAATCGTCTGAGAATTATAACTTTTTCTTATATGTAGTTGTGTGGATCTTTCATATCTTATACTATTTATATAATTACGCCTAAAAGTAGAGATTAAAATAAACACAAAAAAAATTTTAAGTACTCATAATATTGTATAGTATAGCATAAAATAATATTTTAATCTTTTCTGGTTTTGTGTGTATTTGTGCGTCATACTCTTAAGATACTTTTTTAATTTGATATATATATATATATATGTATATATATAAATCCAGTATTTATATAGAACATTTAAATTTAAATACATATAAAAATTATGTATTATATTAATAAATACAAATATACTAGTAAACTTATATCTTATTATACCAGTTTTTATAAATCAAGCGATAATTTTATAGAATAGTTATATCTATACATACATATATGTATTATGTACATATATACATAATAAGTTCTAGACTCTAAGAGAGCAAAAGAGATCATTAAAAATCGATTATACCGTGTTCTTATTGGAAGTCACTTATTAGAATAAAATTTTGCAAATATTCAATATTATATAATTTAAAAGTATTTAAAGGAATTATTAAAAAATATTAAAATTCAATAATTTTTGTTCTATTTTTTTATTTTTTTTACATACTTTAAAATTTTCGAAATCATGTATGCATGTATTATAATCATAAACTTTTAGCTAGAATTAAAAATTTTGATTTTTATATTTAGTTTGAATCAAATTTTATTTAACATTTTTTTTATATATAGCAATAAAATATACATATGTACATTATACACACATTTACAATATACAAATAATCAAGAACTATTTTCATTTAGAGTCTGATCATGTAGGTCGCTTTTTATTCAATTTCCATTCAGAAATTTCATTTTTTTAATCGGATTCGTTATTTTTTAATTGGATTTTACAATTTATATTCAAAATATCGGCTAATTTTTTCACATTCATAAACAATATGAATTAATCGTGACTTAATGTAATACACACTCACTTTACACACCTGAATATACGATCGAACATATGAGGCACCCAGTTTATCATTTGCTGTGTGAATAAGATTTTGTTCAAAATTTTCATGTTATCTTGTAAAAAAAGGCTTGATATAAAATTTGATCTTAAAAAATAATTTCATATAATACTTATGTAAGTATTGTAAAGAATTAAAAAAATAATTAATAATTTATTATTCAGTAAAAAACAAATGTCAAAACTATATTTGCGTACTTAATTAAAACCTACTATTCTTATATATGTATGTATGTATATCTCAGCGTAATTGATTACAAAAGTAAAAAAAATAAATATTTAATTATGATTATATATAAGAATATGTACTCGTATATAGAAAATTGCATATAGAAAACTCGCATATGGAAAACAAGAACAAAAATTGTACAAAATATAAAAAACTCAACTAGTATAATGCTATATTATTTTAAAAAAATGCCCTATTGTTATCTTCTACTTACATGCTAAACGAATATATTATCATTAATTTAAAAAAAATAATAAGGTAATCATTATTTCTAAGATTGGATAGGTACTGCGGTTGTTTCACTATCTTTAATATTATTTTCATTTAAATTCTTTTTTGAATTGTTCAAAAGCTTTAATTCTTGACCATTTTGTGCATTTTCCATATCTTTTACTAAATTCTTTGCTTTCTTCCCAAAATTTTCACATTCTTCTATAGTTTCTAACATTGGTTTATTTAGAGTTTCTGGTAAAAGAAGTGATAATAAACCACCAGTAAATGCCATTCCTCCAAAAATTATCATTGGAAATGGTTTCCATATTTCTCCTAATAAATTAAAATATGGGGCTAATATTCCACCAATCCTAGCAACCATAGAAGATGCACCTAAACCAACATTACGTATAACAGTTGGAAATTGTTCAGCTGAAAATATATAAACAGTTCCCAAACTGGATGTAATAGCAGCTTTTCCCAAAGCAGCTAAGCTTACAATTAACCAATTTTTATCTTCAGGTACTACCGCAGTTAATAAAAGCATTGAACCAGCAAATATCATACAACCACATAAAATTGATCTACGTCCCCAACGATTTAATGTACATAATAAAAATATATAAGCAGGAAATTCAACTGCACCAGATATCACAAAATTTAACAAATCGTTGCCCCCCAAATTACTGGTATTCCATGACAGACCATAGTATGTACCGCTGTTAACGAACCAATCAAAAAATATTAATAAAGTCTTCCGCCTCAAATTTGGGTAACGAAACAAATCAAACAATGAATCTTTCTTTTCATTCACTACTTTTTTACTAATATCATCATCTAAGAGATTATCGAGTAACTCATCAGACAATGAAACTTTATTTGCTTTGGCTGCTTTGAGTATTAACTTTTTCGCTTTATTTTTATGTCCTTTTGATAGTAACCAACGAGCGGATTCTGGTATAAACCAATAATAGCACATAAATAACGCTCCAGGTAATGTTAATACAATTTGTAATTGCCTCCAATCAGTTATAAAATAGGAGAAAGCAGCGGTTAACATAAAACCGACGGAAAAGAACATCATACAAACAACGCCAGCAAATAATCTATGACTTGCACCAACCATTTCCATCGCTATTACATATGCAACTAGAAAAACTCCTGACGTTGTTGCCCCAATAATTATTCTTGATATTGTATATGTTATATATTCTGGTGCTATGCCAGCTAATATTCCAAAGATTAATTGAATGACTAATGATGCAAAAAATATTGGTTTTCTTCCATATTTATCACTCATTTGACCAAATATAATACTACCTAATAATACACCAAGCATAAATAATGAATCGGATGTTGCCGTTAACCATGAACGTGAACATACCATATCCCATTCTGTAACAGCACTATTCTTATATTTACTTTTATCATAAACCCATTTTGAGCAATGTATTGTACTTTCATTCCAAAAATATTCACATTGTGAATATTTACCAAGTAAATTATCATACGGATATGAAGTATTTAATAAAGATGTTGGCAATTCATATTCAATTGTTTTAGTATCATTTTCAAATGGTAAAAGACATCTATGTTCGGGTTTTGCTAATAAAAATACTCCAGCTAATTTATGAAATGCACAAGAAATTGCCGGTAAACATATTAAAAAGTAAACACGTTTTTGATAACGACCAAATCCGCCTAAATGTGATATAACATCGTCATAACCCATTATTGGTAATTTATATCAACCACATAAGTATGATGAAAGTTTAAATCGACGTTTTATATAATTTCTTGTTATTATTAGGTATAATTTATTAAAAATTGTTAAATTATTAAATATTGGATCGAAATAGTGATAAGAATTTCTTTATAGTTTCACTTTTATAGAATAGTTTTACTTTAAATCACTGTTCAACAAGAAGTTTGATTCTTAAATAGAATCTTATAACTTTAATTTCTAAATACTTGCCTATCGAATATTTATTTTTTCTGCATGCATTGTAATATTCAATTTTATTTAAACAACATAAAATTTTAATAATTCGATAAAATTGTACCCTTTAAAATAATTGTTTAATCACCAACTGTTTTATTTTTCATTTCTCTCATTTACTTTTTGAATGTTCAGAACTCCCAATAATTTTATCAAAAAATAATATTTTTATCACAGACTTTTTGAATTATATTTTTTATATTGAATAAATTTCATATCTATTTCGATTATTTGAGTTTTCAATTGTGTTTTATAACTTTTTTTTTTCTTTTAGATCAACTTAAAGAAGCTACATGAAAAATATATTACTAAAAACAAATAAATAAAAATAAATAATAAAAAGTTATTTTCTGTAAATTATTAATTTTGTTTCATATTAACACATACATATATAATATGTATACATGATTATACACATACATAAATACACGCAACATACTTTCTATACATCCTATTTAAATACGAGTAACTCTTTTTTAAACATAAAATTTTAATGAAGAGTAGATTAAACAAGAAGAAAAATGTGTTTTAAAATTTTGTTTAAATTTATTTGATTTGGAAACCAAGCTCTCAAGGAGCCTACCTATATAAGACCCTTTTTTTATATGAAGATCATTCTTGATTTGATAAGAAACAAAATAAATCCACCAAAATGCACCTATTATAAATACATATATAAGTATAAATGCACCTACATATATTATATTAAATGCAAAATGCGAATAAATTGTTTACCGAGCTTTTAAATTGTGTACTATTATTGTTACTAGAGCTTTGAAGACACGATACTTTTTACATGCATGAATTGGTGAGTGAAAATGTAATCTATGAAAGTACGTTTTGTTTTTAAAATTTCCTCATTGTGAAAAATACTTATTCCAGTTACATTTTATTAGGCTCACAGTGGTATTGAATAACTTTATAATATAATAGTTATATTGTTGTATAAATCTAAATCAGTAAATAAACTGAAATAGTTGTAGAAGAAGCAAATAGAAATGAAAAAAAAATTTTCTGAAATGAAAAAAAATTTCCTACTTCTACCTAATTTGTTCAAGATTCAAAAAGCTATTTACTCAAGAACGTTGCTACTAAATTAGTACTTGGAAAAATAAAAAGGAAAAAAGCTTGGAAAAATATTTTTTATCTATTCTTGTTAAATTTTATACCAGCTATCTTTTGAGTGTTACACAAATTTACTGTTACACTATCATAAATAATAATCTTATCTATAACACTTATGCCTCGCATTAAACGTTTTTAGTAAAGTATAAAAAACACAAAAAAATCACTTTATTCACTTTTTTTTTTAATTTCTTTTAATTTTTCATTAAATATGAATATTCAACTAAATATTCTGTTATTTTATCATGTCAGCTAAATGTTGCACCATATCTTAAAATCAAATTCTTTAATTTTAAATATATGTATATAATTAAATTTACATAATTAATAATTATTTGTAAATTTTAATAGTTTAATTTATATTCTTCCTTTTAAGTTTATACTTTATTCATTTACTTTTAACAATATTTCAGCCAAATACACAAAACACATTAGAGTAATTCTGTATAATTATGTACGAAGAACAAAATTTTCTTTGCATGTGTACATTTTGTTCTATACTCTCAATAGAATTGTATTGCTTTATTTTTTTTTTTTTTGTTAATTAAACTTTAAAATCAACTGATGTATTTATTATAATTAAGCATACATTATTAAATTTTTTTATAATTTTTCAACAAGAGTGAAATTTATTATCAAATTTATGACACATTCTTCTAAAACTATGACACGACATAACATATTATTTTTTAATATGTTATTACTTACGAATTTTGTTATGACGTTCTTGAATGAAACTATAAAGTAAAGTGAAATGTGAAATTGTAAAAGGTATTAAAAATATAGGGAATATATGTAGATAGTTTCATTCCAAATATGTAGTGGTTTCTATTTGTTTTTATTTGTATTGATTGACAAATACTTTTTAAATAATCATTCTTAAAGTGTTAGGAATACATACTTTAACTTCATTTATACACATACTCGTATTTACATTGCAACATTCACAATTCCCATATAAATTCCCATTTCCCATATATGAGGCAATATTTTTTTATGCACACACATGGGTATATTATATATAATATAAACATATGGTTCTTGTAAAATTTGTAAACAAATTAGTTTTTTACTATTTTCGTTATTATTTGTGTCAAAACAAATTCGAAAAAAGTTAATTAAAATCGAAGAAAGTAAAAAAAAATTAAAAATGAGATATCTTTTGCAAATATTATTTAATGCCTTTCAATATTAATTGTACATATGTATGTGCTTAATGACTCTGCCTAGGAAATCACGTTCATATCTCGTTGCATAAACACAACGATCAACAAAATTCTCAACTGTTTATCTATTCGAGCAAGGAGTTTAAAAAAAAATAGAAAAGTTGTTTTATTAACAGAATTTATGCATCAGCTGTCTTATAAAAATTGTAAAATTCGATTAATAATGTTGAGACACTGTATGGATAAATTCATATACATACATACATGCCATGCCAGTATGTACATATGTATGTTCAACTTTGTAAATTTATAGCAGATCGACAATTACATAATATGTATCTATTTCTCAAAACGAATTACAACGAGGAAACAATTAAACAATAAAAAATCGATCGTTTGGTAAAGTTATTTGAACAAAGAAATAATTTTTACAATTGCGCTGTTGAATAAACTATTGTTTAACAGGTCTATTAACATGTCTAATAACTTCAAATTTTACAAAACCGAACGAACGAATATTTGTTATATTATAGTAATCGTTTCTTGACAAAATACAAATATAAATTAGATACATACGTACAAAGGCAAGTAAGATGCGGGTATAACGTAGGCTTAAATTATTCAGCAACAAGGTTTTAAATAGGCGGAATCTGCATAATGAATAAACTTTTTTCAATAAAAAAATTTTTTTTGCTATCATATGTACATCTAATGACATGTGGTTACCATTTCTAAAAAAAATGCTGATCAATACTAGTTCAAACAATCATTTACTCTAAAAATTACTCTAATAACAAATCTGTTATGATGTGAATGTGTTGTAAACAGCTGTTTGAAAATACATACATTTGTATATCCGTTTACATCTTTTGTTACTATAAGCACGTCAAGAAAATTCATCAGCCGAAAACCATTTAAAAATTAAGAATTTGTATAATAATATATGCAAACATGCATTTATATACGTATGTATATCTATGATATTAAGTGAAACAGTTTCATTAGTTACTAATGTGAATAAATAAAAATCTGCATGGTAAACATTAAAAAAATGTGCACATGCACACAAAATACAAGCTTATACTTTTACTGTATAGTCGATACATGAGATACATACATATATTTTGAAATGAGTATGTATTACGCGAGTGCTTCATATTGTGTTTTTTATTAAGTACAAAACCATAGCAAAAAATAGAGGTTTGGACATTAATTTTGAGCAATTTGCTTTAACTCCTATGTTAAAATTAATGAAAGATAATTAATATAATTAATGAAAGATAATTATTAAATATTGATATAAATACATATTAAAGAAAAAAATTGAAGAGGGAATTAGAAAATAATATCTAAAATACAATCAAATGTTATTTTTCCAATACAAATTTTATATGTATGTAGGTACATATATTTCTAAATTTTACCTGTATTTTTTTTTCAGAAAAATTTTTAAAATTTAATATATTACCTAAGTAAAAAAATATTTAAAAGGTTTTGGAAAAGACAATAATATATTTTTTATAACCGAATTCGAATATCTTTTTTATTTTTGAAATAAATAGTATCTTAGCAAATGACTCAAAAACTCCGATTGTAAAATGATAGGTAGTAGGTACTGATGTAAATTTTTGTCCGTTTGCGTTAACTATTAAGATTCATAAACAGGCGGGGCCATTTTATAAGTAGATTGCTCTTGTTTACCTGGTAATAAAATGCAGTTTTAAGTTGAACTGCATTTTTGAAGTTCAGATATATTTGCATTTAATGCGGAAAGCAAGAAACATTAGGGCTATGAAAGTTCATTAAAACTATAATTTTTGCCTTACTTATTTAATTAATTTTTGAAATAACAATTCATTACAAACAACCATTCATTTATCGTTCATTCATGTATTCATTTCTGGTTTCATTTCGGTCGCGATAGACAGTCTAACATTTTTGTCTTACCAAAATAAATACCTGGAAATTTGTGCTTCCACTAGGCATAATATAAGTTATAACAAAATTTATGCCTAGTCAAGAAGAATGATATAACAATAATCTTGTAATAAAACAAGAATCTTATAAAATTTATTTCTCTTATAAAACGTTTATTTTATGTTTAAACTTCTAACACAATATACATATCTTAGGATTTGAGCCATTTTAAAGCAGTACTAACCGGGTGTTGCATTTAAAATTATCACGTTGACAATTATTAACTCCACTTCATATTAATAGTAAAGTATGTTATATCTGTAATAAGTAGTTCGACTTGTTCCATTCTGTTAGTTTTCGTTTGCATTTTGCTTCCAAATTCTTAAAATATTCCTTTTTTATGTAGAAATAGATGGTAAAAAGAGTTGTGTAGGCAAGAAAGAAACAAAATATTGTAAACAAACGAGTGTATCAAAAACATTGAACTGAAATAAAATTAAATTAAGTTAGGTAAAAATTTTGTTATTTTTATTTTGATAACAAAAATTTTTTTTATTTTTCATGTCATTAAAGTTAGGTAAAAACATTCGAATCTATGAAAGTAATAGTTATAAACTTAAAATTTCATACTATGTTATACAGTACATTCCTATTCAAGGTAGATTATACAATATGATATAGTAATATGTATGTACCCCGTTTATATGGCCGGTTTCTGACCTGAAGCCGGTTTCGCTCAAGTCGCTTACTTTACTTAAAATGTTAATAATGATTCGAAATTTAATAGCTAAACGTCGGGCTTTTAAGCTAAAATAGTAAAAACGCAGCTTGAGTTTCGAGCCGATTTCGCAATGTAGACGAGGCGTAGATATTATTATTATTCCCGATACGCGTGTATGTATGTATATAAATAAGAAATATTTGTTTTAAATTTTTAAAACAAAATATAAATAAAAATAAAAAACTCATAGTTTATATTACAATAAATGTAATAACAATTACTAATTACAAATTTTAAAGTTTTTGTTAATATTATTTGTCTTTTTCAAATTATATACATATATTTAATATGTAAATTTTATTATAAATCGCTTCGCTTTTATAATATGGATACATGATTTCTGCCACCTTGTACTGGAATAATTTACAGATATAAAACTCCAGCTTTTAAAATTCTTAATATTTTTTCCTATACTTTATATACGAAAAAATAAATAACGCCCGCTTTTAAAAATACATTATAAAAAAACAGGCACACATCTATTGCGTACTTTTTCCCTCTCCCAAAAATTCTTATGTGTATAAAAACGAAAATAAGAAGGTATACTGCTTAACTCTTTTTTGGATACAAATATTGGTGAGTGATTGCATTAGTGTGATGTAAACGGAGAGTCGAATTACTTATTAATAGATGTACTTTGATTAATACCTTCTCCTAGCAATAATTTGACATTTCAAAAATAAATGACACTTAGTATTGCACAAACTTGCTTGGTAATAATTGGCCTTTGCGAACACTAATATGAATTTTGTATAGAATAACCGTCAACCAGCAATTTTAAAATAAATTAATCAAGTTGCATTTGTAATTGGCAGCACTGACAGTCAAGTAAAAACTGTTCTTAAATTTCTAAAACTGTTTTGACACCTGTCAAATTCAACTGTCACCATTTTTGCTTAAATCATAAGAGGAAATATTTAAATGTTGTAAAACATAGTCAAGCAGTTCCTTTTTTTGCTATATATTATATTGTTTTCTATATTGCAATTGTAATTATGGTGCAATGACCAATAATTAATATTAAGCATTTTTTTTATATTAAAAATATCAAAAAATAAAGTAGTAAAAATTAAGCAATGAATTCAACCGCAACATTGAAAGTTTCTGAGTTAATGCGTAACATTATTGTGTACGTAGAAGTTAGAACTGAAGAAGACAATCGGTCTGAAGGCATTAAAAAAGTAATTTCCAGCCTTGGTGCTAAAGTTAACAATCGACTAACAAGAAAAACTACGCATGTAGTCTTTAAAGATGGATTGCTATCAACATATAAAAAAGCAAAGCAGTTAAATATACCATTAGTATCAATACTGTGGATTGAAGCTTGCAAAGAAAATTTTAAAATAATGGATCCATCGCTTTTTCCAATTTCCAATATCGACCGCTACGAATTTCCTGAAATGTATGACAAGATCAAAAGAATAAAAAATATGCAACCTGATGCAATTGATAAGAAAACAAGATTAAATAGCATAAAACATGTACAAAGGAACAATTTAAAACAAATGGAAAGCCCACACACTGCAAAACTTAGATTACCCAGAATACCAAGGACCCCTAAAGATAACTTAAATAATATACTTACCGAATTTCAAGACAAAATAATGTCCACACCGGATAATGATGAAAGTTTAGTTTTTAAATCAAAATTATTACAAAAAATACAAAGTTCGCCATTTACGCCAAGCAAAATAAAGGAACATTCTAAAGGTTTTGGTAAAACAAATAAAAATGTTACTGAAAACGTTTCGAGTGATAACGCCGAAGACAGTTTAAAAAGCTCTAATTCGGATAACGAAAATTCGTATGCAAAAAAACCTAAGATCAATTTTGTTAATAAAATTTCTAAAGGAAAACAAAGTTACCGTAGAAAAACCATTTCATCCACTCCAAATCAGAATAATATTGCAGGTATAGTTTTGTAAAGCACATTGTTGCTTATAAAGTACATACTTGAATTTTAAATTTCGCTTTTTACAGGTTCTAAAAATTTGTCATATTATTTTACGCCCACCACAAGCAAAGTTTTTTTACCAACCGGAAACAAAACAATAGAGAGTTCGAAAGACCAGAATTGCAATGATATTTCAAATGCAATATTATCAAAATCTAACAATCAAGTTTTTAAAGATAATAACGAGATAGACAACTCATCAATTGTACATAATGAAAAAACTAGTCGAAGAACTTTATACACACCGCAAAATATGGAAATTTCAAAATTTCATTCTGCTCGGCGTATAACTAACAACAGAAGAAGAACATTATTTGATATTTCTTTAGATTTAATAGATAAAGGATTAAAGAACATTAATGAACAACTGAAAACAAATAAAACGATTGCAGAGGAATGCACGATTAATGATCAGACCAACATAAAAAATGTAGATGATTCATTAAAAATTTCTTCTACTCCTACAAATGATCCCGAAAATACCCCTATCGTGAAAAAGCGAAAACTTTTTATGCCAGATCAAGTTGAATTAACTCCATTAACTGAATTAAGTAAATCTTTATTATCATCCAAAAAAAGAACTCGCGACTGTGAATTATTATTAGACCAAAAAAAAAGTAATAAAAAACGCAGAACTACAGTCAATGGTTTGATAATACCAACTTTTAACAAAGAAAATCGACGAAGTTCGTTTGATTTTGATAAATTTCCAAAAAAGCAAATAACTTTAACGCCACAAACGGACAGAACCAAAATAAAGAATATTCTTGTTTGCACAAATATGCATAAAGAACAGCTTGAATTTGTTGAAAAAGTCGTCAAATCATTAGGAAATTTCGAAGTTGAAACCCAAGTTACTGAAAAAACAACTCACGTTGTTTCCCTTGAATGTCGCCGTACGATTAACATAATTAAAGGTATAATTCGAGGATTGTGGATTTTGAAATATGAATGGGTAGTCGATTCTTTCAATAAAGGTAAATGGTTGCATGAAGAAACTTATGAGTTACGTGAATTTTCTCGAACAGTGGAAATATGTCGTTCTGAAAGGCAAGCTTTTGGACCAACATATAGAATGGAGTTGTTTGCCGATTTAGCATCTATTTATGTTTCAAATAAATGTAAAGTTCCAGTTGATAGTTTAAAAGATGTTGTTAAATTATGTTCAGGTCATTTAGTTAAGGATCCAAAACAGTGTAAATATGTCATTGGAGACTACTTTGAAGGAAAAATATGTCTTGAACCTCAATGGATATTAGACTGCATTACAAATAATAAAATAGTAAAATTTTTTAAATATACAATTAAACCAGAAAATTAAATGCATCTTTGAATTTTTATCTTTATTAATTCAAAAATTTAGACTGAAAAAGTAATTTAGAAATAAAATTTGAAAACTGTTCATTTCAGCACTAAATTTTTATATGATTATTACAAATATGTATATTAAAAATTAATTCCTCAAGATGCTAGACGTATGTATGTATGTCTATTTAGCCGACTTGGGGTTTTGATTAATTAATAATCAATAATTTAAAGCTAAAAAGTTTAAACATATAACGTATTTTTAAAGTTAGTTAAGTTGTCGAAGTTTTGCATTCTAATTAATTTTATGTATTTAGAAGCCGAAATGTACTTTTAACTAAATTATATAAAAATTATATTAATATAAAAAATTTCTAAAACTCAAAAAAAGTTACATATAACACAGTAGTAATTTATTTATACATAGCAAGGGAGTTTTCGTTTATGCACGCGGCGCTGAAAGTTCTACATATGTACATATATTAGAACTAAAATTTCTAGTAAAACTTTAGCTGAGGTTTTTTTGTTTACGCAGTGTACAAATTCTGAAACTTCTAAATAAATAAGTAGTTCGAAAATATCGGAAATGGCATTGTTTATGAAATTGTATCCCAATACATTTCGCCTTCCAATTCGCTACAAAACAAGGATATTTTAACAAGATTTGACTTAAAGAAAACTTCAATATTTCTAGAGAAAGAATCTGTCATCTGTCAAGTTAAATAAAAAAGAAATTTCATGAGGCAGCGACAAAATTTAAAATAAAACTCTGCGCTACATTTCTTTATTACAGATCAAATTTCCGAAGGCACTTTTTACAGTAATCCCGATAAATCGCGATAAATCGCGAGCTTTCAAAAATTTTTTTATGCAGGTATACATTATTTACATTAAATGAGTGATAAAATGAGAAAATATGATTACTTATATACATGCATATGCGTAAAACGTAGGTAATGTCCGTATGTATTCATTTTCATATGTATATTTGTAAATGTATAAAGATGTATGTTTACTATAAGTATGTTTACTTGCAACTTCAAATTCTCTAAAAAAAAGGGAATTCCCCTTTTTCTATCTTCTAGATTCAAAAAAGAATTTCAGAAACCAAATACAAATTAGAATATTTACATGTGTGTATGCCTGTACAGAATATATTATGTACATACATACTTATAATTGTTACCTTATGTATGCACGTAGGTATATATGTATGAATGTGTTTGTTGAGTTATCATGTACATAGGTATGAAAAAGAAAAACGAAAAAAATTGATAATTTTGTAGAAAGAAAAATATGTACAAACATATGTACCTATATTTGTATGTGTATGCATTTTCGTATTTTTATGATTTTGATAATATTATTTTTATTGTATTGTTTTTATTCTATTTCTGACTATAATTGCCTGTACGGAATGAATTGAACCTTATACGAAAAATATGTAGTATATACCTACTTACCAACATAAATCTCCCATATTGTTACTCGCATCCATGAGGTGATAGCTTATGTTACTCAAAAGTATTTGCTTTTCGGTACAGAATTTCAAATTTTGGATTTTTTTTTTAGAACATTACAAAATATTTTAACAAAATGTGGTTCAAATAACATAAATGTGCACACATATCATGTATGTACATATGTATGTAATTATATCATATATGTACACATGCATATTGTTATTCAAAATTAGTATACAATGCAATATTACAAAATATATTATGTAAGTGGGATTTTCGAAATCATTACAACATTTCGTTTATAGATTTTTAATAGTTCATTTATTCGTTTATTCTCCAAAATGCAGTAATACATGCCGTATTATTGCATTTAGAAGCCAGGCTACATATGTATGTATGTAAAAATGTATATTTTAAACAGCTTTTGTAGTAATTACATATATACATATGTATATGTATACATAAGTGTTTTACACTTATACAGTTTTTTAAAATTTACAATAGAATTAAAAAATAATGCTCAAATTTTCGATGAGAATGCCTAATAATTTAAATTGGAAGAGAATTAAAAAGACCAAACATGTAAGGTTGAACGACAAACTGAGCAGGAAAAACAAATAAGCACTTAATATAAATGTTATATAATAGCTACACCCTGAAGCAAGTCGATTTTATTGTTTTTTTAAATAAAGTTCTTGTATACGATTTAATTCATAGCTCGAGAAATATTAATGGAACTCCGACGTTATTTACACGACGTCTACAATTTATGGACAAAGCATCATACCTCACTTGCTTCATTCTGTTTATGTATGAATAATTTTGAATCTATAATCAAATTTCTTTTTAAATCTTGATTTTTATTTAAGATCATAAATTTTATAAATTGTTACAAATGAAAGTAGAAAACAATTTTATTTCAAATTTCTTGCTTCGAATAACAATATTACAAAAGTTACTTCTTATATTTAATATTTTAATTCTAAATTTAAGGTATACTTGAAAAACCTTTTTTTTACATTTGTAAACAATTTTCATTAATAACGAATTATTTTTATAATTAACATTTTTACATAATTTTCTGTCTACAAAAATTAATATTATTTAAAAGACTGTTAAATGAAAATTTAAAATTTCACCTACCTGTAAAATATTCTATAAGAAATACATAAATTTTTACTTTCTTAAAGTATGCATGTAATGCAATTGCAATAATTCTTTGTATAATTGGCAAATAACAGAATGTAATAAGAATTTGAACATTTTCAAAATAATTTTATTCTTGAATGTTGAAATTTTTTTAATTTTATAAAACTATCAAGCACAGAGCTATAAAAAAACTTGTAAAATCTTATAAAATTTCATTTACTGTTGTAATATTTTATTATACTGTTGATTCATAAGTACAGGAAACACATAAGTATATGTGTTTCCTGTAACTTTGTACGTACATTTACTATTTATTTTTAAAATAACAAATTTTTTATTGAATGCATACAAAAACTTATAATCTAACGGTAGAAAAATTAATAGTATTTTTTTCTATATATTGTTTTTTTTTTTTTGATATTTTTAATTTTATCATATTCCGTACAAATTGGATGGTAAGTTTCGCTGTTTATTTTATTCAACATTATGTAGTATGTGTAGATATGTATCTGATACAAAAATGGGTCCTGTAACATTCATACTGCTGGTTTGGTTTTAAGTTACTTGTTATGGTATTCCTTATTTTGTTTCCCCTTATTTTAGCCTTCTTCTATACTCTTAATGGGATGGTTATATTGGCAACACTATGCACTTAAATTTAAAATAATTATGAAAGCAAACCATTTTTTTATGCTTCAATTGAGCAGAATAGTTTGTGTCTTCCAAAGTTTGAAATTTTCCATAACTTTACTGTTAAAACAGTTTTGGTAGTTTCAGATTGCTAATGATTGTTTTTATTTTACAGAATCATTTAATCAATATTATTTTTCAACATTTTGTTGTTCAACCTCTTGCAATTTTATACTGCAAACGTTTCAGTGTAAAAATCAAATTAATTTAAATTTCAATTCCAAGAATATCGAATTGAAGAATGAATTAATTAATGAAATTTACGTGTTTGATGTTAGTAACTAATTTTTTCTTGGATGACATCAGCTTTTTTATAAACGTGTTTCTACACCAAATTGTCTTTCATTTTGGAATGAAAACAAATCATAAATATTGAGCTATCAACCAATAAACCATGCTGTTAAATTTTGTTTTTTTCATCAGATTTAATCTATTTATTTTGTTCTTTTCAAATCTTTTTCAAATGACTCTTCTAACGAATTCTTTACAAATTTTATTTTCCAAAAAACAAATTTGAAACGTCAACCATTTTAATCCTTTCCAACATCAGTTTCCAACTTCATTATGTTTAACATTATCCAACAGTAGAAATTTATAATACACATAAGATTTCGGAAATAAGAAGAACAATATAATATGTAAAGCCATTTTTTTTATGTTAGTTACTTAACGTAAGTATTCTAGATTAAGATTAATATTTATGAAAATCAAGCTGTACAATCATTGAATTCAATTACTTTTGAATAATAATAATAATAGTTAAAAATTTTTTAATTTTTGCTCATAATTATATTAATACGTATACAATCAAAGATTGAAAGTAAATATTTAAAATTTATTTTTTATCATACTGTATTCATTGTTCCGCCTTACGTATGCTGTAGTTGTGCATGTGTATTTTATTTTACAGAAATAGAAAAATTAAAGCGTCTTTTAAAACAGATTGCCTTAAAGAGACAAACCAATGAATTCAGCTTTAGTTTTTCTATTTAATTGAATAGTATTTCTTCTACTGCATTTCGTGCAAAGTTTACAAATACTTAAAGTTAATGTCGTCGCTATTATTGTAATTTTTAAAAAACCAATTTTTTTTATATTTAAAAATGTACATTTTCCTTTAAATTTTTATGGTTTATTTTTTTTTACAATTTGAAAAATTATTTTAAAATTTAATGAAGAATAACAAATTTAGTTTCTCTAGAAAATTAATAGAAAATTTGTAATCACGAATTTGATGACAAATTTAATGTGTGCCAACAATTTATATCTGATTCTGTTTTCTTATAAGGCTGTTTAAATAATTTTAAAGTTTAGATTGCAAAAATATTTCTTTAATTTAAAAAACAGTAATATTTTTAGTTTTATTTTGCAAAAATTTCTATACAAAAATTTACATTAACCATTTTTCCAAAAATATAATTTAAACAATTTCTATCACGAATTCGTATAAATTGTTGGGTTGTTGCTTGAATCTAAAAGCATTTTCATACAAAAAAAAAAAATTTTACATAAATTTTAGTTTTTACTGCTAAAATTTTTTTTTGCAAAATCAATGGAAAATCAATGGAATCGTGTGGAATTAATTTAATTTTATAGTGATGCAATAATGTAGATTTAATAATATTGTAATTTCTTGGCACTTCTAAATAGTTTTTACAAAGTTCTTTAACATTGTTATTCTTAAAATTGCCATTAAATTACAAATTTTCTATGCCGAAATTCAACGAAAAAAGTTAAAAAAAAATAGTATAAGGTCAATTTAAATTTTAACCAACTCATACTGAAAATACTTTATCGTCAATACTTAACAAGTATCTAGAATTTTTTCCAAATGGTGTTTTCTGTGCGTTTCACGACGCATTTTGTTCAATTCAGAATGCTTGACTTACACTTTTTTTTAAATTATTAGAACGTATCGTAATTGTATCGATATTTTGTAAAAAGTCATTATTTTTAAAGCATTTCATTTCTACAAAAATATAAAAAAAATTTCAAAAAAATTAGTAAGGCATAGTTTTTTGGGACTTTCTCTCTGCTTGCTATAAATTTTTCTCACTTAGAAATACAGGCAGTATTTCACATACTTAGGATATTAACTGCAAATTGGAATTTACAATGAATATTTTTTTTTAAATAAAATCTTTTAAT